AACTACAAACTATTGGTTAACAGTATCCATGAATTTCGATAATGGTAAAAAATGCATTCACTGTTTTCGCTTTAACTATACCATTACACTGCAATCATAACGTAAAACTACACATTCCAATCTTTAAAAGAGAAAAACAGAATACCTGACTATCTTTATTGGTTACCGAGATATAGCATTTTGAATGTCGCGAAATTTTAAACGCCTTTTTTCTCGTCTTCTGATTATGGCGCTTAAACGGGTGTGCGAATAAGGGCCTCGATTAATCTATGAACAAACAATATAATCAAATATAACAATATAATCGAAGAAATGAAGAAAATTAAAGCATCATTAAATAAATGAACAAGTAAACCGTTCAAGAAAGGAATAGAAAGGAAACTCAATAATGCAAGAGAAAAAAGAAAAACTTTTGGAAGATAATACCTAAATTGCGGGAAGAGGAGGGTAACGAACTCAATATAAATAAGCACACAAAAAAAACACACAATAAAAAAAAAAATAGCAAAGCACATCGACGCTAATTGAAAACGCGAAATATAAAAATCTCCAACATTTTGAATGAGGCAATAGACGCCCAGGTGAAAACCTCTTAATTAAGATAAATATACCTTGTTTCATGGAGGATATTAGTTTGCAAGCTTCTCTTCTGTTTCGGTTTGTGGACTGTAATGTTCGTGAGGTTCCGTAATTGTATTTTCCTTCGTATAAATTTTTCTCTTTGTCTTATTTTTTTTTTTATTCTGTTTTTTTTTTTTTTTTTTTTTTTCTTGTGTGCCATTCTCTGTGGTATTGGTATACTTGCATATATTTATTGTATTTCATTATCAAATATATTTTTTCATTCTTTTTACTACCGTTTGATATGATCTTAATAATGTATATGATTTTTCTTTCTTTTTGGTTATGCCATTTATGTTCTAACTCATCGTTTCTTTCCTAATAGAAAACAAGCGACAGACAATTAGAAATAATTTGAAATACCTGCCTTTAAACACACCAACACAGCTGACTCATCCTCTGACCTCGAGCCGAACAGAACTGACCCAAGCTAACCTAGCTTACCCCCCCTCTCTCTCTCTCTCTCTCTCCCCCGGCAGGAAAGCGCTCGGTTCCTGACGGGCGAACCCCCTCTGCCGCGACCTGTTCCCCCGAAGACCTCGGCCCAGGAGAGGCGCGCCAGGGCCATTATGGTGGACAGAGGATCTCGTTACCTCTTCCCGCTCTCCTTCGCTATCCTCAACTGCATCTACTGGATCACCTTCTGGAGTTACTTGTGAAGGTCTTGGAAGGAAGACGAGGAGTGAGGGAGGAGGATGGAGGAGGAAGGGGAAGGGGTTCGGGATGAAGGAGGAGGAAGGAAGGAAGGAAGGAAGGAAGGTGGGGAAGGGGTTAGGGATGATTGAGGAAGGAAGGATGGAAGATGGGGTAGGGAGGAAGGAGGAGATGTGGGGGAAGAGGAGGAAATGGCGAAAAGAGATGATGGAGACGGGAAAACAACTATGAATAAAATGGTACTGGTTTGTCTTAACACCTGCTTTGAAAACACACGTGTTTATTCTCGCTCGCGTCCCCGGGAGTTTAGACTTAAAAGTTTCCATCCCATCAATATCTTATATGTCATGTTGGTAACCCTGGGGAAGGAGACAATGAGACGCATGGTAGGAAGAGATTGGTACGCCTACTCTATGCTAATTGGCTTAATTTACTCCGCCTTTCATTCATATTCTAATTAAGGGAAGATATATATATGATATATATGAATACATTTTTTCCTTTTGTTGATAGTATATGGAAATAATGGTTTAAGTTAAAAATGATACATTTTCATCCAGTTTACTGTCATATCTCCTTTAGAATATTTAGATGTGTGTAAGAGAGAAAGAGAGAATAAGTGTTTTCTCGGTTTTTTGTATTTGTCCTCATGCCTGTGTGTTTTTGTATATAGCAAATTTATACATGTATTACTACACCTCAAAGAAAAAGGAAAACAGAGAGAGCGTAAGATTAGGTGAAGAGAGAGACGATGAAAGGGAGAACGAGAGAATTACAATAAGAGTGAAAAAAGGACGAAAGATTGAATGAATGAGAAAGAGAGAGAGAAGGAAAGAGACAAATATATATATATATATATATATATATATATATATATATATATCACTTTTGAAGCTTAGTAACGTAACATTGGTAGCAGCGGTGGGATCCACAAGCCAACACCTCTGAGGAGCTCTATGCAGTTACAAGCTCAGGCGTTCCCTTCCCTCCTCTGTTAAACGCAGTCAGGTAACGCTTGTAAGTGAATAAGTGAATGATTGAGAGCAAGTATAGAAGGGAGATTAGTTCGGGCTGAATGCTAGAGAATACGTGTATGCATAAGTGATTACATTGGCTCTACAACATTAATTCTCGGCCTGAGAAAAGCGAGCTTATTCCCTAAGAGTTAGGCTGTTTCCCTGGTTCTCTTTGTTCCACACATTTTTTGGAAATAAACTGACTTTGA